GGCATTTGAGACGACGTTTATTTTCTATCAGGGATATCGGTGGTATATATTTTCCTACGTTTAATAAAATGTCTTCAACGTCGGGAATTTCCCGACACCGAAATAGACCACGTATAGTACAAACACCAATTTTGAGAGTTGCCAGCGTTTTTTTTTTTTTTTTTTAAACTTTTGCCGGGGTTTATAAACGCCGGCTTTGAGGAAATTTTTTTGTAGTGCTAGGAAAGATGTGAACTCACAGGGCCAAATCTCCGTGGGGCTTTGTTAGTTGGAGATAATCTTCAAAGTGCAAACTTGCAAAGCAATTTTTTCTCGTTCTATTGATTATTTCTCTATTGTCTTTATATCATCCTTTAAAGTCTTAAGATATGTATGAAAATTAGTACTGGAGTGGCTATCGGACATGTACTATAATTGGAGCCTGAGTTGGCAAGGTTCCAACAACAAACATATAGCCTACATTTTTTCAATCATTAATGCTATTGGGACATAATTTGGAGATATAATGAGTTGTTCCCAATGAAATGATAGTAAAATATATTTAATGATGGGTCCCATTGTAGCATTAATGAATTTATTATCATATCATTGGTGACACCTCATTATGTCCATAAATTATGTCCCAATAGCATTGTTCTTTTTCAATTGTGGCTCTAAGGGAGGAGGTATGGAATCTCATTGAATCAATATATATCAGCGTCCCAAAGACTTCCCATCAATCTCAGTAGGAAGATCATCTCATTGACTAAATACATAACTTCCAGGGCAGCATTTGGTAATAAGTGCAAAGATCAAGATGAATTCATTTTACAACAATTCAGGAGGCAGTTAAGTTGGCCGGTGGTTTTGATCTCCTTGATGTATTCCCTTCACTCAAGTTTCTTCATTGGATCAGTGGAGTGAAGCCAGCATCAGAAAAAATGCACCGAAAAATAGTCAAGATTCTTGACAATATCATCAAAGATCACACATCGAAAAGGAAAACGACGATTAACAGCAGCGATGAATCAAGTCAGGAAGATCTAGTTGAATCTTGATTATGAGTTTCCTATCACTACTGACAACATCAAATCTCTCATTCTGGTATGTCTCGAAAAGATATTCCATATTTTGAAGCAATTAGAAGAAAACAATGACATGTTTGAGTAGTAGAAAGTGAAACCACCCAAGAAATGGTTTAAGGAAAAAGCTAAATATACTTGCTGATCAGTTCATTATTTCTACAAAAACAAATATTGAAACAAACAATTCAATATGTATTCATTCTTCCGAAACCAAAAAACATGACATATTTATCTAGATGGAGCATCCAAGTAACCAAAAACCAATTGGTAATGAGTGGAATAGCCCCTCAAATTTATAAACTAAAGTTAAGTTCACTTATTAGTGCTTTTTGATGTAGGATACAACTTTCTTCACACCTTTCCTCATGTGCAACTCAACACATGGGCTAACAAATAGGAGTTCAACCGAAATAGATAGATAATCATATTCAACTAGATGAGAGACTTGGTCCACCGGCCATTTCGATCAAGCCCAAATTTGGCACCATATTAGAGAATTCAAGTCAATACCAATTGATAATGAGTGCAGTAGAATGGGCAATGTCTGAAATGATGAGAAACCAAAAAGAATATCGGGCCCTTTGCATGTTAAGTACCTCAAACTTACCACTAGGCTCTTAAAATGGGTAGGATCCACATGCTCTCCATTTTCATATTTTGACAATTTTACACTACATTTAGCGGGTGTGCATACCGGCTTACAATCTTGCATCTTGCATTTTGCCAAAATTGCTTTTAGCATAATCTTATTGAGATATAAAAATAACTTCTTTCATTTGCTTCACTTCAATGCCAAGGTAGTATGATATAAGCCCAATGTTGGTCATCTCAAATTCTTTAGCCATTGCTCTCTTGAAGTCTTCAAACATTCTTGGACAATTTCCTGTGAAAATCAAATCATCCACATACAAATAAGCATAGAGTATATCACCATTATTATTCACCTTTGCATAAAGAGCATGTTCATGGGGACACTTGGTGAAATTATTTGCTTGAAAATACTTGTCCAGTCTACTATTCCAAGCCCTTGGTGCTTGCTTCAAACCATACAAAACCTTTTTTAATTTCAAGACTTTCTCTCATTGCCCTTTCATAACATAACCCAAGGGTTGTTTAACATACACCTATTCATAAAGAAAACCATTCAAAAAAGTGGACTTTACATCTATTTGATGAATTTTTCAATCATTTAGAGCGGCTAAAGAAATAATTAATCTAATTATTTCCAAACGAGCAACGGGTGCAAATATCTCATCATAGTCAATACCCGGTCATTGACTATAGTCTTTTGCAACCAACCTTACTTTATACCTCTCCACTTCACCTTTGACATTTTTCTTTATCTTGTACACCCATTTCATTCTAATGGTCTTTTGTCCTCTAGAGAGTGTGGCAAGCTCTCATGTTCCATTTCTTTCAATAGCATCACTTTCTTCATTCATGACATTCCTCCACCTCTTGTCTTGTGCCGTTTTCTCATAGCCTATGAGATCATAATCGGCAAATAGACAAAATAGTGTTAGATCACTAAATCCTTGAATTACCTTTTCGGTTTCTTCATAAATATCTCGAAGACTCCTCATGCAAGGTGGCCTTTCACTTGAACTTGCTTCGGATGATGATGATGGATAATGGTGGTGATGGTGGAGGAGAATAAATGGGTAGCTCCATGATCTCATTATTGGGCTTCTCTTCTTCTTCAAAGAATGGGAAAAAATCATAGTCTTCTTGTGGAGTGTTCCAATCCCATTCATCTTCTTCATCAAACTCAACTTCTCTACTAATGATTATCTTGCCATTACTTGGGTTGTAAAGCTTGTAACATTTGCCTCTTGAATCATAGCCAATGAAGACAAACTTTTCATTCTTGTCATCTAGTTTGGTCCGTTTTTCATCTGGCACATGTGCATAGCATACACTTCCAAAGACCCGCAAATGAGAAGCATTTGACTTGATTCCTCCCATGCTTCTTGTGGTGTTTTCTCTTGAACACTTCTAGTGAGATACCGATTTAACAAGTAAATGGCACAATCAATAGCTTCTTCCCAAAACTCCTTGGGCATTTTTTTAACTCTTCAACATACTCCAAGCCATGTCAAGAATGGTTTGGTTCTTCCTTTCGGCAACACCATTTTGTTGTGGTGATCTTGGAACTGTTAGAGGATGGTGAATTCTATTTTTTTTCACAAAAAATTTTAAATTCATTTGATGTGAATTCACTTCCTCTATCGGATCTAATTGCCTTAACTTCATACCCACTTTGTTTTTCAATCAAAGCCTTATACTTTTTGAAAACACCAAACACCTCTGATTTTTGTTTTAGAAAATAAACTCACGTTTTTCGGCTAAAATCATTAATAAAGAGAAGAAAATATCGGTTCTTGCCAAATGATGGTGGGTCTATAGGGCCGCAAACATCCGAGTGAACAAGTTGAAGTGATTTGGTTGCTCCTGAAATGGATTCTTTGGAAAAACTCTTTCTAGCTTGCTTTCCAAATAAACATCCCTCACAAAGTTGATCCGGGTGGTTGATAGAAGGCAATTCGTTCACCATCTTCTTTCTAGACAACAAGGTTAGTCCTCCAAAATTCAAGTGTCCAAATCTCAAGTGTTATAACCAAAAAGAATCTTTAACACATGCTTTCAAGTATTTTGCCACATCACTTTGAATATTTAACAAAAACATTCTATTTCTTGTCATCGGCACTTTAGCAACCAAATTCTCGTTTCCATCTCTTATTGAAAGATTATGATTTTTCATGCAAATATCATAACCTTTCTCTAAGAGTTGTCCCAAACTCAAAATATTATTTTTCATGTTTGGAACATAAAAAATATTAGAAATAACTTGGTGCCTTCCATCCTTCAAACGAATCAAAATATTACCTCTTCTCATTACTGGAATTTGAGAAAAATCTCCAAAAGTAACTTTTCCACTCACCGATTCATCATGCTCCGCAAACATCTCTTTATTTTCACACATATGATTACTAGCACCGGAGTCAAGGTACCACACGTTCTTGTCTCCCTTTTACTCTTCTTTGTATGCCAACAACAAGGTCGGCTCTACCTCTTCAACTTTGTTTTCAACAAAGTGTGCTCTTTCTTCTACAAAATTATTTTTATACTCGGAAGTAAAATGGTCATATCGATGACAATTATAACATTGAATATAAGATTTGTCATACCTCCCTTCATATGACTTTGAATTGTTGCCTCGTCCATGATGTGATTCTTGACCTCTTTCTTCTTTTTTGGATGCATTTTGACCAAAGTTTTCTCCTCTACCTCGACTACGTCCACGCCCTCTACTTCTTTGACTTCCATCTTGCCTTCTTTTTTTTTTTTTTTTGAAAGAAAGCTTGGCTTGTAGCACTTGCTCTAACGACTCTTGTTTCTTCTTGTCTAGCCGTTCTTGATGGGCTAACAATGATTCCATGAGTTCGTCAATCGTCATTGTGTCTAAATCTTTAGACTCTTCAATGACTACGACAATGTAGTCAAACTTGGAGTCCAATGAACGAAATTTTTTTTCTATCACCTGGGTATCATCATAGTGATCATCACCACAAATTCTCAAATTATTCACAATCACCAAGATTCTTGTGAAATATGAAATTAATTCGGATTCCTTCATACGTAAAACCTCAAATTCACCTCGTAAAGTTTGGAAGCGAACTCTCTTGACTTTTTCCACTCTAATATTAGCAGTTTTCAGAACATCCCATAGTGGCCGATTGCAATTTAGAAAATCACATGAAGGTGAAAAACCAAAATTTGCCCAACAGTTAAGAGAGAAATGCTATGTAAAAGCATCTTGAATCTTGGACTTCTCTCAATTCAACATGCTCTTTGCCGAACAACATTGCTATAAAATCGTGTCCTAACCTCATAGAAGGAAAACCATACCTAGCTTTAGTCTCTTACCTTTCCCAAATGGTGCTTCAACTACCCTCCCTTCCTCCGCTTTGTGCTTTCTTCCTCTTTCTCCTTGTGGTTGTGGAGCATAAGAAGAGATCTAACACCCAAGGCCCCAAATTGAAATTGCCACCAGGGCCAAAAAAGCTACCACTAATCGGTAACTTGCACCAGTTAATTGGGCCATTACCTCACCACACCTTAAGAGACTTGGCCAAGAAACATGGGCCAGTTATGAACCTACAACTCGGTGAGGTTTCTGCCGTTGTCATTTCCTCGCCAAAGGCAGCCAGAGAGGTGATGAAAACCCATGACCTGATCTTCGCAAGCAGGCCAGAAATACTTGCATTCAAAATCTTCTCATTCAATTTTATGAATATGGCCTCTGTTCCCTATGGTAATTACTGGAGACAACTGCAAATAATTTGCATATTGGAGCTCTTAAGTGCAAAACGTATCCAATCATATAATTCAATAAGAGAGGAGGAGGTATGGAATCTCATTTAATCAATATCATTGTCCCAAGCACTTCCCATCAATCTCAGTAGGAAGATCTTCTCATTGACTAATACCATAACTTCCAGGGCAGCATTTGGTATTAAGTGCAAAGATCAAGATGAATTCATTACAACAATTCAGGAGGTAGTTAAGTTGGCTGGAGGTTTTGATCTCCTTGATGTATTCCCTTCACTCAAGTTTCTTCATTCGATCAATCGAGTGAAGCCTGCACTGGAAAAAATGCACCCAAAAATAGACAAGACTCTTGACAATATCATCGACGATCACACATCAAGGAAAGCCATGATTATCAGTAGTGATAAATTAAGCAAGGAAGATCTACTTGATGTGCTTCTGAAAGTTCAGGGCAAGGGTGACCATGAGTTTCCTTTCCCAACTGACAACCTCAAATCTGTCATTCTGGTATGTCTAGAAAACATATTCAATATTTCCCAGCAATTAGAAGAAAACAGTGACACATTCGGCTCACATAAAATGAAACCCAAGAAATTGTTTTAAAAAAATAGCTAAAAATACTTCATCGGGTGAATTAGTTCTGCCAAAAACAAATATTGAGTGAATAATTCAACACGTATTCATTCTTCCGAAACCAAAAAACCTGACATATTTATCTCAATATTGACCTTGCTCTGGCTCGGATGTAATAAAACTATTTGGACAAGAAGCCGAAGTATAGGAAACTATTAAACACGTTTGTTGATATTAATCAGGCAGTTTTTCTTACTGAGAAACAGAATATTATTAATCAGGCTCTGTTTAAATTCAAGTTTCCACAGGAGAGAGGAAAAAAAAAAGTATCAGGATCCCAGCAAGGGAGATCCCTTGAGATATAATTCCAGTTTAAGAAAATCAAGCTATCGTCATATTTTTGTAGTAACTAAGGTGTGATCTCAATGATTCTCATGCAGG